TATATATAAACATATAAATATATAAACGAGCTATATAGAGCGAAAATCACAATCTCTATTATTTGTTGAGCATCGACTAATATTGTATGTTGTTTAATTATTGATCGCCGGATCGATCATAAGTACATATATCGATACACGAGTACCTTGCACATACGATAACTAATCAGTTGTTAGGAAACGCAGAAATCTAAAAGATTTATGCTCGAGATATATAGATACTTCGCATTGGAAGATTCAATGTTGTGAAGAATTCAAAAATTTAATGGTGTGATAAGAATTCTACATACATATATAAATTTAAGTACTCGAGCTACCCCACGTCCAAACGTCCGACGATAAAAGAATCGGATAAGCTTAATTAATCCAAACGTCCGTATGAAGAAATACGAATTTATGTGGATTTAGAGAATATAAAGAATTAAATATTTAAAAAGGATACACACAGTAGAGAATACACAATACACACACACGTATGTATTTAAGGAATCAAAATCTCGAATGATAAAACGGTCGGCAAAGCTTTAGCGATCGAATGATATAACGTAGTATAGTACGAATCGAAAGATAATGATATATCAGGCTCTACGGGAAATGGAGCCGCATATAAATATGCATAAGCAATGATTATTGTCTAATTCGAATTGCGAACTTCTCACAAACAATGAATCTTGAGGTGGAATTGATCGCGGGGGTTATCAAAGGCGGTTCACCCCCCGCGCATTTACCGGCACCGAGGCTCGTCAAGATATTTATCGCCAGCGAAAGAGATGGTAAGTCCCAAAAATTTCGAAATTTCAACGAATTTTACTCGCGGTATGAAATATATGTGAGTCCAATATAAAATTTATTATAAGGTGTCTACTTATTTTTTTATCACTAAAAATTACAAAAAAGATATGTGCTGCATATTTTATTAAGATGTTGAATGTATAAATATATATATATATATGTTTATATATTCAATGTCTTAATAAAAAAATATATTCTATATTTATAATATATTTTAAAAACATGTTTTTTTTACAACTTGACTTATCAGCGAATTGCTGACTGTTGAACAATTTTCAAAGAGAATTTTTTAGAAACTCTTTGAGTTGTTTTTTAAAAAATTTACAATTAAATTTTATGAGAATTTCCTGACTTTTTCAGGTAGAAGAGAAATCTTTGAGAATTCCAGATTTTCCATGTTTTTTTTTTAGAAAGTATATATAGACACTCATCTGTATTAAATAAATATCATCATATTGAATAAGATTCAGAGTGTCTCTCAATAACGTTGCAATAAAGTTGTCACATAAACGCGATGCAATATCGGTATAAAGCCTTCCCGGTAGAGAAAGCCCCTCAATAACGTGAAATTAAATTCATTCGATATTTCTGCCGGCTACAGATTTTACGGAAGAGC